CCCTAAACCCTAAAGCCTAATGCCCAAAGGGTTGAGGAGTTGTGGATTTAAAGTTCATGTCAGGATTTGCTACCGGCTGGATTTAGGATTTTAGAATAAGGGCCCTAGAGCCCAGCAGCCGCACTGTTCTATAGCTTAATATAGAGGCCCAAATAATTACCAGTTCTATTTTTGTGCGTCCCTTACTATAATTACAGTATAATGGGCCCCAAAACCCTCTTCTAACTATTAAAGGCCCCTACATTAAGCTATAAGGGTCGGAATATATTTGGAGATACGATGGCTTCTGGGCCCTCATGATGACTGCAGAATCACACACACACACACACACACACCAAGCCCTGTTCTAGCAAAAGTAAGGCTCCTACGAACTAACGAAACACGCGCTTGAGGCGAATGGCTTCAAGTGGTCGTCATGGGTTTGGTCACCACGGCCTTCTGCCTCTGGGCCGAGGCGCGATGGGATTTAGAGAGCTGAGGGTTTAGGACTCTAGGGTCTAGAGCTTTAGGGCTTGTAGGGCTTATTGGGCTGTAGGGTTTAGGGTTCAGCTTCTAGGGCTTTAGGGTTTTGGGGCTTCAGGTCTAGAGCTTTAGGGCTTAGGGCTTTAGAGTTTGGGGTTTTGGAGCTTCAGGTTTAGAGCTTTAGGGCGTATAGGGCTGTAGAGGTTTTGGCGTTTCAGGGCTGCGGGGCTAGAATCTTTGTGATGTTTTTTGCGTATGTACCAAGGGGGTTTGAGAGGCTTTTGATGGGCTTCAGCCTCGGGTTCCAGAGCGATGCTTCTGGAGACCCAGAGAGCCCCATACCACTTGAATAAGGAATATACCTTAAACTATAGGGGCCTTTATATTAAATACCCCTTAAATAAGGAATGGACCTTAAGTTATAGGGGCCTTAATCTTAAATACCCTTAAAAAACGGAATAGACCTTAAATTATAGGGGCCTTAATATTATGAGTGATAAGGTATAGTCCTTATATTAAGGGGAATGGGGCTCTCCGGGTGTGAGAGGTGAAGCACTGCGGGCTTCGGAACCGAACATAACTGAACACGAAATCAAACTAAACCATAAACCTTCAGGGTTTTAAGGGTTCAGGGGTTAGGGTTTAGGCGTTTAGGGTTTAGATCGAAGCCTAAGGCGCGTGAAGGGCTCACACGGTTCTTGTCCTCAGGCCCGCGCCTTGCGAGACGTGGATGCACCGATTGCAGCCTGGCAGCAGCTTGTTTTGGGTTCTAGGGCTGAGGGTTTGGGTTTTGTGGGCGGTTTTAAGGCCAAGGGTTCAGGGTGCAACATAGGGTCCGAACTCGTTACCAATACAGTTTTTGGGATTCCTGTAAAGGATACCCCCTCAAATCCTGATCTAATTATTCAGGCCGCCATCTTAGACTAGACCAGGTGCAAAGACAGCCCTGACACCTACAACCCCGAGCTCGAGTGATGTAGACCGCACCTGCCTCAGTAGGGATCTTAACAGGTTTAGGGTTTAGGGGTCTTAACATGGATCGTCGCATGAATCTACTACCACATAAGTCGCCTCTCTCAAAACTAATAAAGGAAGCCTACATTAACTCCCTCCCCGCATCCCTGAACAAACCAAACGCAGAACCAGGTTCAGCCTTGTCATGGGCTTGGTGGTTCGCTTGCACAGCATTTGGGAGTTTGTGGCTTGGGGGTTTGTAGGGTTCAACATTCTGCAAAGAAGTCCTGGGTTCGCCGCCTGTTCTTGCAATGCCAAACACTAGGCCGCCTGAGTACCCCCAGGCGGCGCTGATCTACGCATGTGAGCCCATTTGGGGTGCTGTCTTCGCGTATCTTTGGCGAGGCACAGTGACTTGCTTCCTTGAGGGTTGACTTTGGCGTTTAGGGCAGGGAAGACGAGGTCCGTCTTGTGAGTGAGGGGTCTTGTTGCATGCTGTCCTAAGTACATTCCTCCTGCAAGGAAGTTGCCAAAGTGAACCGTCACTTGGCAACTCTAGGAGTAGTGAAACCCCACGTATCTTTTGGTTCGCAATCCAGGGTTCAGGGTTGCTGAGGTTTGGCATGTGGAGCTTTGCTACCTGTTGATCTTGTTGGCAAAGGGGGTGATACCCAACTCCAAATCTTTCCTGATTCCTGAGGCTGAAAGCCCACAACCACTGCAAACCGCCCTACCACACTAAACCAACATAGAGGTCTGAATTGTAATTGATGCTTTTACTTCATAGACCCTTATTCGAACTATAGTTGAATTCTAGATTCTGAGACCCCAAGGTTAAGCACTTGTAACCTTTACCACCTGAGCTTTGGGCTTTGGTTTTGGTGCCCGGGGAGATGCCTGAAACCTTAAACCCTAGACCCTCAACCCTAGGCGCTTGTTCGTCGCTGCAGTGTCCTGCTACTCAGTAAATGGGTGATGTGGATGCACACTACTGGGTGTATGGAGCAGCTATCGTAGATCAAAACACCCTAATATAGGTGCCTGAATCATTACCTGTACTATTTTGGGGGGTTCCTTACTATGAATATAGTATGATGGGCCCCAAAACCCTATTCCTTTTATTAAGGCCCCTATATTAAACCCCAAACTCGAAGTTGGGGCTTCGGTTCCCGTGCCAGGAGAGATGCCCGACGGGCCCTGTGCTGTGTGTGGCGCCGGGCTTTTGCTGGTGGCTTCGATGGCAGGCCCAGGATATTGAAGCCTAAATCACTACGAATCGTATTTCTTCGGGTTCCTTAGTACCTTAAACTAAACCCTAAACCCTAAACCTAATACTATAGTCGACCAACCTCCCTGGCCCCTAAACCCCAACTCCCCGACCCGAAAACTGATGAAGGGTTTTCAGAGGGGCATCCTCTGGTTTTTGGGAGTCCGCTCAAAAGAGTTGGTACCGCGAGGGATCAGCAGGACATCGGCCCAAGTCCCAGAACAACGCTTCAGATTCCCAGAGAGCCGAAGGGACCCCTTAATTAAGGAATCTACCTTCTTAATCATATTTAGGCGCCTATAATTTAAGGTATATTCCTTTTTTTAGGGGTATTGGGCTCTCTGGGTTCAGCCCTCAAGTGCGACGCTCAGGGTTTCGGGTTAAGTATGACGGGTCATGCGCCTTCTGTTTCGGGTTTCGGGTTTGAGGCGTTCCTTCGTTTTTTGCTGGTTTCAGCCGACAGGCCCGCGTTGAGGTCCGAGCGTGAACGATTTCCGGGCCCAGGGGTGTCGGGATCTGGCGACGCTGTCAAGACCCCTAAACCCTAAACCCTAAACCTGTTAAGATCCCTACTGTAGCGAGGCAAGCACGGTCTAGATCACTTGAGCTTGGGGTTGTAGGTGTCAGGGCTATCTTGGCACCTGGTCTACTCTAAGATAGGGGTCTGAATAATTAGAATAGGGTTTTGGGGGTTCCTTTTTATTTTAAATTGTAATATACCCCAAGACCATATTCTAATTATTAAGGCCCCTACATTAATCTAGGGCCACAGTCTCTACCAGCTTCGTGGACCCTGCGGGGTTCCCTCCACAAGTCCATGTAGCATCAGTGTGCGAGGCGTCTACGCCTCGTCGCAGCGCGACGAGGAGGAACCAAGGACAGACCCGTGTTGCCGACATAAATCAACCAAAGCTGAAACTAAGCAAGGAGTCTATCTTGGACTATGATGCGGTCCTCCCATCGTCAGCATCCGTCCACTACACCTATGAAGCCCCGAAATGCCCAAAGATTCAAAGCCTTGTAAACGTAAACCCTAAACCCGGAAGCCCGAAGGTACTGAAGCCAGAACCCTCATAGCATCCTTCGCAGTAACCCTTATAGTACCCTTTACAACGAAACTAATTTGGAGTTTAAGCCCTCGACAATCATGAACCCTTCAAGAGGCCTTGTTTTCAACCCGTATAGAACAAAAATGAACTAAACGCGCCTTTGATCCCCAAACCCTTCAATTCTAACTATAGGGCTTACGGGCCCAAGGGTTCCAAACCCCATTGAAGTTGAACCCCCTAAACCCCTGAAGCCCCTCAACCCCCATAACCCTTGAATTCTAAACAAAATCGGCTCCCAAAGAGGAGCTCAACCCTAAGCACTAAAACAAAAGCAAACCCTAAACCCTAAAC